CAAATAAGTGTCTCTTGATATATTTTTGAATGATAATCTACAGCAGAGTACTCTGATGTTAACATGCAGAGCTCCTACACAGAATGTTACTTCCTGAATGAAATAGCACTTAACCGGGTGTGTTCCTTGAGAGCCTTGAAAGTAATGAACACAGCCTTGAGATAAACTGTTCTGCCCTGTTACACTTTTGGCTCAGCTTCATTAAACTGCGGGCAGCATTTTAAATTTGGTAAATGGTCTTGATTTTTGGTTGTCATTTCTCCTTGTCACTGTGCTATCCCTCATTTGAATCCTTATTTTTCCTAGCAACTAGAAAACTACTCACAAGGATGGAGCACAGGACCCCGGAGGCGAAGCATATGATGAACCATTTGATCCTTGTGCTGTAACTGAGCGTGGAGGCATCCAGGACCTGAGGGAAACAATGGCAGGATATCACATGGTTCCTTTCATTAGAAGACATGCTGACTGAGACTAAATCAAGTTCTTGTACTTTCAAAAACATTATTACAAACAAAACAGAATCAGTAAAAGGCTCTTTCGTTTTGGCCCGAAAGCCCAGAGGTTCACAGGCAGCTGTAGATCTTTGGTGGGTCATGAACAGCACTGCATTTACTGAACAAACAATCCTGAAATTTCTTTTTCCTTTTCCTAGTGTACCATGCGTATGAGATTCTAATTTGCACACAAATAAAGGTTATGTTGTGCAAGACGTACCAGGCACAGGATAACACAAGATACTACCAGCTTTGCCAGACCAGCCGGGTATTTCAACGTACCAGCAGTAAAGCTGAATTTCCAGCTGAGTTTCCTCTGATATGATGAAAATATTTTTGCCTCACTGTTTAATTTATCTGCAATATATACTACTTAATATTAAAATACATTGAAAGTGCCCATCATGGGTCTACATTAAACAGTATTAAAAATAAGCTTAATTCCTGTGGTTTAAGCATTACGTCACATGACTACAGATGCGACACAACTAATTGATTGACTAATTGATAATAATCATCAATAATAATAAAGCAAATGACAGGATTTATAGCTTTATATAAGAAAAATATTATCATATCTCACTGTTCAGTATTAAAAAGGTGGACATGTGGAAGGATTCGTCCATGATGTGTGTTTTGGCTCATTTTTTTTACTGCCACCTTTTCAGTCTAAGGTTAACAGCACTTTGCTCTTATCACATCATGAGCACAATTGCAATGACACAGGATTGTATCATTGTAACTTCTGTCATACAACATACACAACACATTCAAATTAAAATGGCAGACACAAACACACCATGCAAAGGCAACACTATGAACACCATAATAAGTAAAGGAACATGCACAGCAAGAGTAGGTTTATGTATGTCTACTATCACACAGTGGATTCTGAAATTATCATAATGCGTAATGGATGACAAATTAAAGGGAAAACTGGTGGCTCTGTGGTCTTGTGGAGGCATTTTGCTGCAGGGTTTAGGTTCACTTGTCCCCTTAGAGGGAAGGGTCATAGCAAATAAACAGTTTTAAAGTAACTGGTCACCTGTCTGTATAAGATCACTGAAAAAGCAACAATGTAACTGCTGAAAAAAAAGCATTAATAATGCTTTAAAAATGTATATTTGTGTGGCTGTGTTTGTTCTTGTGCTGGAACCTATGGAAACTATAGACTTACTGAGGAAAGAATCTCTGCACCCTTCATGGACATTTGCGTTTAAAACCCCAAGAAAACATAAATCCTTGATTGCTTTCTAGTTAGATTAACGCTGGTGTCATGGGCACACAATATGTACAAAGTCTCAGTACTATATGTCTCTGTTTATGTCACAGGATTTACTTTCTTTTGGTGTCGACTACGCAATCGTAAAGCTGCGTAAACTTTAGCCTCAACTAGATTAGTGTTACATATATTCAGCTCCCACTGCTTATATCAAAACTACAAACTCGCTCGGAGCAGCCTAGTGAGTGAAAGCTAACTTGGGGATTATTTTGTAGTAATAATTCAGCTCATACATTTAGGAATGAATGGATATAGATCTGCATGGGTGGCATAGTCAGTTCGGCTTCTGAACAGAGAGATGGCAATCAATTGCATTCATTAGAATTAGGCTGATCAGCAGGTTCAGGTGGTTTATAACATCTCTATCTTTTTTTTTTTTCCTAATTAATATAACATTCAAATGTGTTTGTCAATATTTGACATTATGTTCCCGTGTTGACTGTAAGATTTATAAATGCAAGGATCAGATCAGATAATAATAAGTCAGCTTTTATCATAAATCAGCTTTCATTGGAGAGCTCATGTTTTCATGAGATGAATTTTCAAACCACTTAATCCAAAGATCATGACCTTACCTTACAGTATCCATCCTCTGAGAGCATGGAGCATTTGGTGGAACAAATATGTAATTAATATGTATATTAATAATCAAATGAGCTATGGAGTTAAAAGTAAAACTAACAGAACACAAATTTCTATAGATATATAGACACTCAAGGTCGCTGTACAGAGTATGTAACACAAAGTAACACCAATAAACACACACACACACACACACACACACACACACACACCCCTATTGTCATCCATTATTTCTAACTAAACGGGTTTTACTTTTAATTTGACTCGAGGTACAGAACAGTTGGGTGTGTGCATAAGTAAGCATACAGGTTGCAATTGTTTACAAACTTTTTGCATACAGAGTGATAGCCATACTGTAAAAGTTCAGAGCTGTATCCCAAATAACTCCCTACTCCCTACATAAGCGCACCTCATAGAATATAAAGTAATGACATTTACACGCTACGTAGTGTACAATATGTTCATAAGAGAGTCATTTGAAACTCGGCCTTGAAGTAACTAGCGGAAATACTAATATACTAATTTTTCGTTTGGATAAAAACAGCTGTTCGTACAAAGACAGACTACACCAAACTAGCTCAATAAATATTTTAAAAGAGTTGAATAAAAGTAAGAATTAGTTTGCAGGATATATGCTAACTGGCTTAGCCACCATTAACTGGCTCTTTAAAACGATACGCAACAAACAAAACCTCCACTGAGGAAGACATTTGCTGGAAAAGAAAAGGCAGTTTACCTGCGCTGTAAGCCCCAGTTCCTCATTATCTTCTCGGCCATTTAATACCCGCCGAAGCTTGTCCATGGTTGACACTTTTTGTTTGAAATATTATTTTGACACTTCCTCAAACTTCAGACATTGAGATAATAAGACCGAGGCGTGTCAATGGCCGAATCTCAAATGACACACCACGTCCTATATAGGTCCCCTATGCTGGGTTGGAACTGCAGGCGTCTACACCCTATCTAGTGCACTACATGTATCGATTTGGGAGCCTCAGTGCTGAACATATGCGTGCTGCTGATTCTACATATCTGTAAAGGAACAATCCACATGTCTGAGAAAAAAAAAATCATTCAATAACGTTTTGCATGTGTCAAAAAAAAAAAAAAATCTTTTCGAAGTATTATATTTACGCCGGGTTTAAGCGGTCATAAACACGTGACCATTGACGTAGCACGCTTAGCTCGGCACGTAATCACATGACCGCCTGAGCCATGTCAGTTTCTGTTCAAGAGCTTGCACCAGACAGAATTATTATTGACATCTAATTATGTATTTCATGCGTCCTGAGCATGAGGAAGGAGTATATGGGAAGTGACTCTACTTAAAAAAACTGAAAACCCAATGTGGGTTTCCATACTGTGTGTACAGTTTTGTGGAAGGAAGTTGTGGCTGTGAGATAGTGCTTTGCTATCCTAGTTAACGGAGGAAAGAAAAGCTTTAGTGACTATTCTGTACCACAGACTCCCCATTGATGTTCACTGCCAATCATGGATTACACACTATATGTCCAAAAGTTTGTGGACACTTGATCATCACAGCCGTATGTGCTTTCTGAAAATCCTATTCCAGATTTAGTCCCCCTTTTCTATTAAAACAGCCTCCACTCTTCAGGGAAGGCTTTCTTGTGGCTGTGGGGATTTACCCATTCAGCCGCAAGAGCATTTGTGAGGTATTGGTGCACTGATGTTGAGCGAGGAGGCCTGAGGTGCAGTGTTCATTGGGTTGAGTGTTCAGGGCTTGTCGTGGCAAACACTTCTGCAAATCAGAATAAGAAAATGAGTTACAAAGACAAGGGGTTCTGGATGCCAAAAATCTATAGACTTTATTGAATCAGACAACAAAGCCGAGATGGTCTGCAGAGCATCTGATTACACAATTCTAAAACAATGATCTCATCGGATGGAGTTTTCTCTTCTTTCTTTTAATCACACTCCTGCCTCTTGCCCCAATTATTTCACTTTCCCCTTATCTTAGTTTTAACCGTGGCGAGAGTTCAGTCAGTTTATGTTTCAAAAACAACATTAGCCTTCACCTTAAAAACACCACCTACAAGGTCACACCAGTTTGTTCTCACAGAAATATCCTTGTAGGATCATAGGCATAAAGTCGCCCTTCTAAATGTACTAGAAATGGTACAGTGTAGTATATAAATGAAGCTCTGAAAGTTAATACATGAGGTGATTTAAGGTCACTTTTCAATACTGTTGCATAGATACTGATTGATATAATACTGATTAACAAATGATATTGATATAGATAACAGGAAAATTCCTCCATAGGCTCTGTGCAGACCACTCAAGTTCTTCCACTCCAACCTTGGCAAACCATGTCTTCACAGACTTCGCTTTGTACACAGGGACATTGTCATGCTGGAACATGTTTGGACCCCTTAGCTCCATTGAAGGGAAATTGTAATGATACAGCATATAAAGACATCCTACACAATTTTCTGCTTCCAAATTTGTGGGAATGGATGGGGAAGGCCCACATATGGGTGTGATAGTCAGGTGTCCACATACTTTTGGCCATATAGCCATATACAGACAAGAAGAAGCAGTGGTAGTAAGTAGTTGGGAAATGGTTATGGTTAGAATGACTCACTTTCATGACTTGTAAATATATGCAAGAAGAGGGGTCCCGGAGAACTAGTGGTTAGGCCACAGCACTCTCACCACTGCAGCCGGGGTTCAATTCCCGGCCAGGGAACCAACCACTGGGGCTGTGTGCAACAGTGCACTCTCAGTGCACGGACCAATGATCCACTGTGTTTAAAATGAACATGAAGAGTTTAAAATGAAGTGTGTGGGTGAAACAAACATTGGTCAGTGATTGGTTGAGAACTTTGGCTAATGTGTGAGTCAGTCAGGCTTTACACATTGGTGGTGAATTGAGTAAATCTTCTCAAGTCATAACGTGCACCTGTGACCCAATTTGTCACCAAATGCAGTGACAAACTTGCTACATTGACAACACTACCAGGAACACAGGGCAATGGCAGGGGGCACAACCTGCCATCCACAAGTGTGCTTACTATCTAGCAAAATTAACAGGCTTGAAAACTAGCCATGTTTGTGGGAGCTTTGTTCCTGTTGACATTAATTTACAAGCAGTTTTATCACTTTTATTTAATTTTATTTTATTAAACATAAAAACCTTTCACTTCTATATAACTTTTCCTTCTGACTAAAGTGGCACTTATGTGCTTGGTGTTGAAATGCTTTGAGTAATGAACACTCAAGACGGTTGTGAGGAAATCCATGCTGTCTCACCATCACTACCTTACCAAAGAGTAGACTGTCAATCACCATTAAAATAAATGTATAGATGAATGTTGGTTTCTAATCTGTAAAAAGTATGCAACAATTTACGGAAAAAAAGATAAATCAATAACTCTTGTTTTTTTTTTTTTTTTGGTTTGTCCCAAAGTAGCTAAGAGCTCTTAAGTGTATCCAGTCTTCTTACAACTAATGGCCAAAAACAGGATACCAAAGATATTGGAGATTTTATACAACCATGTTAAACAGTCTCTGGCTGAATTGCTGGAAGTATAGGGTTGGCCAAGTCATGGAAAAAAGAAAGTACACCCTCTTCCATTCTATGTTTTTATTTGTCAGGGCCAAAAATAATTGTAAGGTCCTTACCAACTTCCATAAACAAATAACCTCAGGTGGCAAACCCCCCACAGATTTCAATATGTAGTCTTTTTCCAAAAAGTACACCAACATTCAGATACAAAAAATACACCCTATAATTCATTAACATACAAGGTTTTTACCACCAATAACTTGAAGTAAACATTTTCTGTATTTAAAATTTGAATTTAAAAATGTTTTGGAGATAACCCTTCCCAGATTGACGATCAGCAACAATTGCTTCGCTGAGGTCATGGCTGATGTCCTTTCTTCTTGGCATGTTGTAAACACACACCTGAGTGCTCCAAAACAGCAAACTTCCAAAAGTTTTGCTTTTATAGAGGTAGTCACATTTCTTGATGATTAACTAATCTTGTGCATCTCATTCATAACACCTGGCTGCTAATTACTCTCTTAATGATTGTGGAAGTAGGAAAGGTGTATTATTTATTTTTTCCCACCTGGTTTCTGAATGATGGTTTACTTTTTGGGAAAAAATGACCACATATTGAAATATGATTTCTTTTGTTATTGTTGTTGCCTGAAATTATTTGTTTGCTTCTAGAAGTTAGTGAGGACCACACAATTGTTATTTTATTTATCTTATTTTATTTAGATAAATAATAAAAAAAAAACCATAGAATTGAATGAGGATGTGCTATATTTTTCCATGACTGTATATATAAAAATGTCATATCTAGAACACATGGGGAGAAATTTGGGAGAAATTGTATCAATGTAGCATGTTCTAACTGGTATTAATTTTTTTTCAGCCTGTGAAATGATTAAAATGTTATTAAAATTCATATTACGGTAAAAGGATCACTGATTTTCCTTATTCAAAGGAGAAAGATGCTGGCTGTTTTTTTTTTTTTTTTTTTTTTTTATTGAGGAAGAGATCAGTTTCAATGAAAATCACCATTTCCTGAGGACTGGAATCACTTTACAACAAAACCAGTCAGCACATTTTTCAATACAATTTATTTAGAAATTGCTGGCATGCAAGCCAATATGAATGAAAAATAACAATATGACTCTGGTTGTTAATTTTTCTCTGCACCTGATCCACATTCTCAGAAATAAAGGTACCAAAATGCACTTTTCCTTGTGGCTAGGGTAGTACCATCACTATGTATCTTTATATCTTATATTTTAATACACACTTTGACCTAAAGGACCTTTAAAGCTTTACTATAAAAGATTATTTATGGTACATCAAACGCACATTCCCTGGTAAGAGACACATATTAAAGGTACAAATGATGCACCCTTGATGGTACTACCCCAGAGACAAGAAAAAGTACAGTGTAGTACCTTTATTTCCGAGAGTGCACAGTGTTCCTACATTGTCATAATTTGCAAGGTAAGAATGCTGTGTTTATGAAAATTCTGAGATTTAACATCATCCTTAGATCAAAGTAACTTCTTACATGCAGTTAAGGATGCTGGTAAAACATTATACATTTACACACATCCCATCCAAAGGAAACAAGCATTGCAGTGAAAAACAGACTCTGAGCAAGCTATGGTGAGATAGCGAACACACAGGAAAAGCTCTTTCTTCAAACTTCATTTTAAAAAAGGAAATTCATGGTGGTGTAAAAAAAAAAAGATTTCTGCTCCCTATGTTACTGGGATATATAAAAGTCACTGTTTTCACCTATAGGTGTTCAAGAGCCTGATATATACATGTATAAGGTTAGAATTAAGTTCACAATCTTGAATACAATGAATAAAAGAATAATGACATAATTGTGACATAATTTTATTCTGTACAATGAAATTCATGTTGAATATAAAATCTGAAACATGTATGCATAAATAAACAAGCATTTTCACGGGTAAGATTAGGCAAAACTACATGCTAAACCTCTGATGTCTAAAAATATTTAAATCACATTTAATTCCATTTCTCAGAAATCTCTGAACTGTCTGCATATATTTATCCCATATTTTAGTAAAAATTCTGAACAAAGGTTAGTGCAAAACTCGGGCACTTATTTACAAGCTTCACTGTCAAACAAAACCCTGTCAAGTGCACTTCAAAAACAAGTAAATAAATCAGCAGGTGAAATAAATAAATTAATTTATGATTCAACTGAACAATTAATAATTTTTATTCTAAACAAACATATGAAGAAATAATTATTTTAAATAAATTAAAAAATAAATAAATCTTTTTTTCAGCAAAAATATTTTTAATACAGTTAGTAATTGTTTGAATTGTTTGGTGTAAAACAAAAAAAAAATTCAGGAATCATATTTTTGAAGCAGTTCACTATAAGCTATTAAGCAATAAGAAGACAAAAAATGAACCTTTTTCATTCATAAAACCACTCACGTTGCATGCATGTTGGAATTAGATAAAGAAATGTCAATAATGCTGGCATCTTTTATAGTCTTGTCCATTTACTAAGTCTCTTGTACTTAATATTGCTTGTTCTGCTGTGGTTATGTAAATGCACTGTGTACATGTGCTGAATGCTGAACACCTGAGATAGCCAAAGAAGCATTTATTTCATAGGGCTCACCATTGTATATGTCGAATGACCTCATAGATAAATTGAATAGGCTTAAAGGAACAGTTCTGCAAAAAAAAAAAAAAAAAAAAAAAAAAAAAAAAAAAAAAAAAAAAAAAAAAAAAAAAAAAAAAAAAAAAAAAAAAAGTACAGTTTTTCTATTTGGGATTACTGGAAATCTCAGTGTGGTTTGAGACAAGCTTGTGGCGTGCAGTTTGCATGATGCCAGACTGGTATCTATGCGCCTTCCTTGTTAGTAGTATTAGTTGTATAACTCCAGTGCATATCTAAAGAAGTCAACTTTATAAGGAAACCAAACACACCTTGACTTACCAAACACAGTTGGGCTAAGGGATAACTGTGTTTGTACATTTTTTCCCTGCTAAACTATTCCTTTAAGAGCTTTAGTGTTAGTGTTTCAACATGCACTACAGTCTTGCTGTCCACTAAATATGTCAATTTTGTGGGCACATTTACTGTAAATTTATTACAGTATTTATTACAGAGCCAGATGGTGAATGACAGCAATCTGGCTCAATATGACAGCAGTCAGGTCCAAACATTTCGACATGGCTCGCGACACATGACAGCCTTCACAGCTTGAGCTTGCAGGTTATGTTATTTGTGCTCTTGGTTGGTGATATTATCTAAACTCCATCACTACAATTCCCTGGCTGTGGCGCATTTCAGCATTAGAGCAGGGAAGCTCTGGATCTACTCTCAGTGCTCTCTGCATTAACGTGAGCAGCTCTCAGTCGCTCACTTTCCTAAAGCTGTATACGTGGGGTAAAATTCTACCATTGCTCATCTACAACGGTCACATGGTATGCTCCCCTTTGTGCATTGATGATTGCCTGGTTCCTTCTCCCAGACTTGACACTTGAATGTCTTCAGGGTCTGTAGGTGGTGCTGTTTGATTGTGTGCTACAAGCAAGTGGACGTCACTCTCTTCATTCCTCTTCTCTGAGCCAGACAGGAAGCAAGGACAGGCTCGAGCTTTGGAGCCTGTGGCGTTCGGTTAAGAGCAGAATATGTAGCGGCCATTGCTCCCTTTAACAAACAATACAAAAGAGCAGAACTCATTTTGTTAGTCTGATCTTTTGCAACTTTTTCATATGGATGAAACGCACAAGAGTGGATGAAAACCCCACTCTTATATTATGCAGTGTTTCAGAGAACCAGGTGGTGGCAATGTTGCACCTTCTAGCGTTGCAAAGGACATACACCGATCAGCCGTAACACTAAAACCACCTGCCTAATATCGTGTAGAACCCCCTTGTGCTGCCAAAACAGCTCTGACCCCTCGAGGCATGGACTCCACAAGACCTCTGAAGGATCCCTTCTGTGGGCTCGGACCAGACGGGCTAGCCTTCACTCCCCATATGCATCAATGAGCCTCAGGCACCATGACCCTGTCGCCGGTTCACCGGTTGTCCTTCCTTGGACCACTTTTGGTAGGTACTAACCACTGCATACCGAGAATACCCCACAAGACCTGCTGTTTTGGAGATGCTCTGACCCAGTCATCTAGCTAACACAATTTCACCCTTGTCAA